GTAATAGTATTACCTAGTTGTTATTTTCTAGATGACATGACCATAATATTTTGAACACCATCAAACTTGGTTCAATTTTATTTACAATGATTTTGTGATTAGTTGAATTTGAAATTAGTTGGTTACATTTGTAATTGATTTGCTAGAAATTTTCAAAGTTATACTTGTTTTCTCCTCCTTGTTATTATACAATGATATAATTAGATTATTATAAGAAGGTCCCATGTTTATGAGATAATTTATTGATTAGGGTGAACTTAAGTTAGAATTGATAAATTGTAACCATGGACTACGAATCTAAAGAAGAAAGCCAACAAGGGTATATGCTAGTGGTTGTTGTTGTTGTTGCATGGTACCACATTGGAATAAGATTCCTTGTTGACCATCTTGTCTCCAAGGTACTAAAATTATGCAGGAGTTACTAAATGAACATCCTATCCGTTGTAAGGAGAATCTTCGCATGAAGCAACATGTCCTTAAGAATATTTGTCATACAGTACGAAGCGAAAATCTAATCCAAGATTCTAAGTATATAGTGTCGAGAAACAAGTGGGAATATTTCTATACACCATAGCTGATAACTCTGGCAATCAAATAATACAAGAACGATTTCAACACTCTGGTCAAATAACTAGTTGGTACTTTGGTCGCGTTCTTAAAGCTATGTGTACATCAGCACCTTGCTACTGTTTGGTAGTATAAGACCAATAGGCTAGAAATGCAATCTTTTTTAAAAACTTTCATTGTATAAAAACTCAAGGGTTTAAATGCATGAATATCTCAATACAAAACCATAATACATATATTCCAGCTTACAAACATAGTTTATGGACATTTGAATAGTAAAATTTAACCCTAACAGGACCATTACAAATCCCTTACTAAAAAGTACAATTAAACTGAATACAATATTCAAATATTCACATTATACGTCTCTACAATATATTGCATGACTTGCACTTGCAATTCCTTATTATATCAAAATTATATGATAATTTCAGCCTCATTCTTTATCCTCATAATATCTCATACACATCATACACTTGATCATAATAATTCAATAAGATTTCAATTCGCATAAATTATAATGCATAGCATTAAAGGCAATACCGCAAGATAAAAAAAAAAAAAACTCAATATTCATACAACATACTCAATTTAATCAATCATGAATCCATTTAATAACTGTAAATACATCAAATTAACACGTAAATATATATGGAGAAACCATGGTTCGAACCCCTTGTGCCCGGGCCATGAAAGGGCTTTTTGAGGACTTAATTTTGTCCCATTGTCTAAGGTATAGGTGATAACAATAACTCTAAGAGATCAATCCAATGGGAAGTAAATGATCACATTTATTTCACTTAATGAGGATCAAATCATGAGAGAGACATGTATCAAAATAGCCCTTCAAAGTTTGAGAGAGATACTACACAAAATAAAAAAATTATGGTGAAACTACACCATGTGGTCCATAAGGGACCACACGAACTTTTCAACATCAAAAAGGGATCTCAATGGACTATTTCTTACGCTCAAATATGATGAAATAAACATCTCATCGGTTGTATATTCTCAGTAAAAAATTTCAAAAATATAAGATCAAGAAATCAAGTTGAAACTACTCAAGATCATGGAGTAAACAAGCTAGTCTACACATACTATGTGTATGGACTACACTATTGTGTTGGGACTTTTCAAATATCAAGTTTTCATGACCAAAAGTGAGAAAGCTACTATAAATTAAGAATTACAGCAAGCTTTGATAATATAAATGAGGTAGGAATTAAAAATATGAGAAGAAAAATCAATACCTTAATGAAACAATAGTATGGGCTTGATCATATAAATGATGGACTACTTCATGGAAGGGTTTCAAATGAAAACTCAAGGAAGAAGATAGTCTCATGGGTGACCACAATTTTTCAAGGGCTCTCACTCTCTCTCTTTTTGAAGTGAATACTCAAATTAGGATAATAATTGATCCCATAAATTACTTTTATACTTAGATCATAAAGATAGATTTGATCTTGATACTTGATGCCTTAGATCAATAGCACATGAGAGGCCTTTATCCAAGCCATTCATCCATATCTTATCACCAAGATCAATGGAAAAGCTTTTGATACCCTTCGCTCCTCAAAACCTGGATTTATAGTCATTTTACCTTGAAGGCCTTAGTTCCATGTTTTATTTCCCTTTAAGTTCAAACGCATGTTTACACCGATGCCCATGGTTTTTGAATAATTTGTGAGAGTCAATAAAATACAAAGACATGAACATAAAGGTAATATGGGATATCTACACATGTGAATAAAATATCTTATGACCACACCAATAGGATTTTAGCAACACTAAAGTTTCACATGGGTCAAGCTCATAAGGTAGTGTTACATAAGATATACTCACATGTTACAAAATCATATGTAGATAATAATATAAATTAAATTAATTCTCAAAATCCTATGACTTCACACATGCCAAAAATGACACATATGAGCTAAAAAAAAAATATGTGACTTAAATCAAACTTAAGTCATAACAATATATAACCCTTTAAATAACAAGATAATCATGTTATATCATAATACCAACAAAAAAATTAATGACAAATAGGTCCCTACATGGATATAACGTCAGCATGATGTCATCAATGAGTGGGGAGGTGGAGGTACCACGTGGCATCCCTATGGCCACTTGGGATCCATGTGGAGTCCCCATAGGATGTCCTTGTTTGGTATTTACATCAAACAAATTTGAAAATCACATTTTTATTGTTTAAAAAATTTGAAAATTTTTTCAAAAATCTAAAATTTTCTCTAAATGATTTCTCAACATTATTACATAATTTCTCATCAATATAAAATCTTTTCTCATCAATTTTAGATTAATTTGGGCCAAAGGTAAATGAGATCTTTAGACTTATAACACTAGTCGGAGTCTTCCATTGGGCTAACCTGAATGACGTTCTATCGGTGTCTCAAGCCGACCCAATAGACTTATGCTCCACAGTTTATAGCAGGGACACATAATTAGTCACATCAAAGTCGCTGAGCCAATGCTTTTCGTCACTGAGGGAACAATGGATTACTGATGCACCCCTGTGGGACATGTTCCTATTCAAATACAAGGGTCCTCTCAAAGCACATGTGCACTAGCTCTTCTAAGTCAAATAATACTTTAGAAGAGTGGCTTCCCCATACGATTGTGGGTGCACATAACATGAAATGGTCATGTGTCGGATACAGGCTCATGTCCCATGAGCTGACCATTCCATACAGGGCGAATACTCTTTCAAATACTCGGGTTATATTATTCTTGAATGGATTCTCTAAGCCTTGGCTTATTACAGCAACTATGAGGCATTCTAATCAATATATTCCTAACTGTGAGGTGACCCTCACACCTCCCCGAGAGTTCACACTCTCAAAGCCTCCAATACTCGAGGTATATGAATCTGGTCCCCAGTGCGCTAAGCACCCAGATTCAGTCTCTCTCTAACTCCCACTGAGCGTAAGACTATTGGCTTTAAGGCCTTGAAAGACCATATAGCCAACAACTACATCTGCCTCTCATTAAGAAATACTCCTCGAGAGATCCGTTATAGTGATAATTACTTCATCTTCTTCAATGTAGAATTTATGTAACATTATTTTCAAAATTATATTTATTATTATTAGCATCTCACCAAATTTTTATCTTTTGAAGGATTGTATTGAAGCAATTGATGGAATTCACAACCCTGTGACAATCGATACTGAAAACCAAGCCCCATATCGCAATCGGAAACTGTTTCTTTCCCAGAACATTGTGGAAGCATGTTCATTCAATCTTTTATTCACATATGTTTGTAAGGTGGGAGGGCTCTGTTGCTGATTCTACAGTTCTCCAAGCAGCTTTACAAAATGGATTCCATGTACTCTAAGGTACTTCTAACTCATGACTTAATTAATAATACTTTTGTAAATATGCCACTGATAATTTAGATGTTTTCAAATAAGTTAGATAAATACTACCTAGTCGATGCAAGTTATGCGAATACCCTAAATTTTATTGTCCCATATTGTGGAGTCCATTACCACCTCAAAGAATATGGGCGTGGACAAAATGCTCCACAAGACTGCATGGAGTTAGACAATTTGAGACATTATTGTCTAAGAAATACTATAGAGCGTACATTTGGTGTACTTAAAAAGCGCTTTGTTATGCTTTCAAGGCCACCTACGTACCCAATTAAAAAACAAGTTTAGTTATTGTAATGTGTTTCGTACATAAATTTATTTGAATACATTCTGGAGGTGATGACTGGCTTTATGAGGAATATGACAAGGAAAATCAAGATCGAGCTCATCGACCAGAAGATTTTGAAGAAGAAAGTACAAGTAATCCACGTGATGCGGGTAGTCGATTACTAGATAGCATTGCACATTATATTGGTTGGTTGGTTGGTTAAATAAATAAGTTTAGTTATTGTAATGTGTCTCTATATTGATTTTCCAATTGAGCAAGTTTCTTTATGGAATGCCAATAAGCTTTCAATTCAAAACATGGTCTCCCTCTATCTCTCTCACGTAATCTTAATATCTTATGCCTAATAAAGGATGGATGTCACCGATGATCTTTCTCTCTTTCTCTGATGCGATGTGCTTCTTTAAATTATTAGTTTTTAAGCATATTTTTTATGAAGAGTACCTATATTTAATATCGAAAAAAAATACAAGTTTGTCAAATATGTGCTTAATGAAAAACTTCAATTTATTGTGATTGTGTCTTCCAAACAGTCAAATATCTTAAGTCTTAGAAGATTCTAAAATGCAGGTAGATAGTCAAACATGCACAAAAAGATACATATGAGGATAATTAATATATGAAAAACAAGCAACGTTTTTATTTAGATTTTCAAAAATTTAAATATTCTAAACCTATTTTTGTCAAACGGGCTTTACATGGAATATATATATATATATATATATAAAGATTTGATGAGCCGGCTCGCGTATGGGGCTTCGTACGACAACAGTTGAGATGGTTTTTCCCGATCGTCTTCATTTTAAATCCCAAAGCTCTATATTACAGCATTGAAAAGATGTGGCACCAGAGAGCAGCGTCCCGTCTCGCCCTCTCGCGCGATGGGAACTCTCTCCTTCCATCTCCCTCGCACCTCTCTCTCTCTCCATCTCCCGCCCACCTCTATCTCAAACCCTATGGCTGGCCCCTCTCTCTCAAACCCTCTGGCTGCCCCTCTCTCTCAAACTCTCTAAAACTCGCCCCTCTTTCAATCTCTCCCCTGCCTACCCTTCTCAGCCCCTCTATATACACCTCTCGTTGCCCATCCCTCTAATTTTGGGGTTTTGTTTGTTTTGGGTTTTGGTGGTCGGGTACAGTTACAAAGCCAACTGATGATGTCCCAACAGCCCAGAAGCTCGAAACCGCAATGGCAAGAATTCTGGGTAATCTCTCGTTGCCCATCTCTCTCAATCTCCCTCTATGCCCCCCTCCCCCCCCCTAAAACGCAAAATTTCTGAAATTCTATATGCTCTATTGTTGTTGCAAACGCGATTGGAACAATCTTCGGTGGATTTGAGGTACGCTATTTTAAGGATATTTTCGAATCTGCTTAAATGCTTTCTTTTTATTCTTTGTTTTTTCTAGGATATTGATTTTTACATGTGATATGAATTCCTTGTTTTGGGTTTTGGGGTTTTTGTTGTTTTAATTTGGTTTTGGGGGTTTTGGTTGTCTCTGCGTATAAGCTTTGCTAAAATTATTTTGCTACTCTTTGATTCAGAGCTCTTATATTGTTTCTTTTTTTGATAGCTGGTTTGGGTCTCATTTGCTTAGCATGTACTTAAATTTGAGTAGAAATTTTATCTCCATTAGATAATAGTTAGATTCCATTGTCTGCACAGAACTATAATGTAAAGCTTCTGATTTTGGCCTAGCTTCATGGGGTTTTTCTGAAAATGCAATCCTGTTTATTGCTAAAATATGAATGTACTTATCGTTGTGACTTAGAATGCATCATAGTTATAGAATGGCATGTAATCAGATCAAAATACTAACTGCATTTCTCTTCTCTATTTTTTTTTCTAATCTTGTTTTTCCTAATTGTGTCCCCGCATTTACTGTACCATCACTTTTGTAGAGCCTAGTCTTTGATCCGGTGCCTTGATTCTTTTATTTATGAATTTAGAACATCCATAATGAGTACATACATAGGTGACGTTTCTTTTTTATCATCGTTACTTTTAACCAGATTTAATCAGTCTTTTTATTAGTCAGAAAAGCATATACGCTTAATGAATTTGCAGGACATGACATTAGACAAGACTGAACTTATGCACATAACTTTTGATCTTGTGTTTCTTGAAAAGCCTACCCCAATTAGTCCTTCCTCCAACTATGCATTTTCCTCATCAATATGAACACATGCACCAGTATTCTACTGCAACCAAACATCATAAATTGAAATGGTGCCTCAATTGCTCATCTTTTTATCTATTACTACGCTAAAAAGGCAATTATAAGCTGTTGAAAGTGAATTAGATAGTCCAATAATATATCAAAAACTTTATAGAGTATTGACTCATCTTACTTTATTGTTTGTTTGGTTAAGAAGATTTTTAAAACTTCCATAGACAATTTAATATGGATATTCTTTTGTGATGTTTGTCTATATAGTGTTTTGATATAACGACTCAATTGATTTTTGCAGACGATATTTGCAAACCTCTACTTATGTGGTTAGGTTTTTTATGTACGGTCAGTTGAAAGATTTTTATGGACCGCACCATATCAGTCGATGTGACATCTTCCCCGTGCCCAATTGTAGACAGCACGAATGCCACCATTGAGACCATGGAGCAGGTTCCTCATCTTTCAAAAATGCGAGATGGGGAACTTGACTCATCAACCAATGGCCTACAAATAGAAGAACCATATGTAGGGATGAAGTTTGGTTATGAGAATGAGGCATATGAGTATTATAAGGAGTATGCATTAGCCAAAGGTTTTGGCACCCGTAAGGGGACTACCCACAATAAAGATGGTCAAAGGATTGATAGAGAGCTCAATTGTAATAAGGAAGGGTTTCGCCGAGAGAAAGATCGAGTAGGTGATGTAGTGATTGCTTCTTATTGCTTGCAAAATTTATTGACAACATGAATATGATTTTTGAAATACAGTGTGGTTTTGTGAATTAGGTTGAGTGCAACGAAGTGATCTGAAATTGGTGGAAAGCAACTGCCTGATGGCGAATATTGGAGCTGACAATGTTTTGGGCTACTCATGTGTGTTATAGAACATGAATATGAGTTGAAATACAGTGTGGTTTTGTGTGTTGCATTGGGTACAACACAGATCCATTGGGATTCTATTTTACTTGTACAGTTGTGTGTTGCATTTTGTATGCTGCTGAATTTTGTATGCTTACTGAATTTTGTATGTTCACAGATATCACTACCACTAATGTAGGCTTGCTACTGAATTTTGAATGCTTGCAGCGTTTTGTATGTTCACAGATATCACTACCACTAATGTATGCTTGCTGCTGAATTTTGTATGCTTGCTGAGTTTTGTATGTTCACAGATGTCACTACCACTAATGTATGCTAGCTGCTGAACTTTGTATGCTTGCTGAGTTTTGTATGTTCACAGATATCACTACCACTAATGTATGCTTGCTGCTGAATTTTGTATGCTTGCTGAGTTTTGTATGTTCACAGATATCACTACCACTAATATATGCTTGCTGCTGAATTTTGTATGCTTGCTGAGTTTTGTATGTTCACAGATACCACCTACCACTTATATATGCTTGCTGCTGAATTTTGTATGCTTGCTGAATTTTGTATGTTCACAGATATCAATCCCACCAATGTATGCTTCCTGCTGAATTTTGTTATGTGTAATGCATTCAGTCCATCATCTCTTTCGTTATGTGATGCATCAGTCCATCGTCTCTTTCATTATGTGATGCATCAGTCCATCATCTCTTTCATCAGTTCATTATGTTATGCATTCAGTCCATCACTTGGTTGGCTTCAATTACATGAATTTTTTTATTGATTTTGGTAACTTGAACTCCATTGATAACCACTTAGGCATCCATCAACTCAATATTTCCTTCTTGTTGCATGTTGAAAAGGAAGGTCCTGAAGGGCTAAAGATTTTGGATCAATTGTTGATGATTGAAGAGTTTACTAATCCAATTCCTTGTGTAGAGCATTTTTTGGGCCCCTGGTGGGTTTTTATACAGGGCATCCATTTATAGGTTTGGTTATGTTTTGTAGATTATAAGTTTTGATCAAGTTATAGTCATTGAGTTGCAAATGATTGCTTGAATTGGAACTGAGCTCAAAATCCTTGTAATGGCAGTAACATTCATCGGCTTGGAATGCATATTATTGTGAATATATCTCCTATATATGTAGCTATTACTACAGTTGTGATTGAAGTAAGCATACGTAGCTATTAGCCCATTACTACAGTTGCAAATGATTTCAGAAGTTACAGTTTTTGAAGGCAAGCAACCCAATCGTTGAATATCTGAACTCTGTTTTCCCATCAAATTTGAGTTTGACCTTAAATTTCATGGGCAGAAACCAGGACAAAAATGAAAAGGCAAATTCAGAAATTAACTAAGAGAACCGGTCAGGTTTATGATTCAGGAGAATTGATTTTCATCTTCACATCATTAACTAAAAGCCCAAAAGCATATGATATGCAGCAGAGAGAAACCCAACGAATATGATATTTAAAAACAACCCCAAATGTATGATATTCATAAAAAAAAGGGAACAAAAATTATAAATAGAATACAAAGTCGGTCTAATCTCGAATGGCAAAGTATCACCAGCATCCAGAGCAATCTGCACAATAAAATTGGAAGCGAGAGAGGGGGAGTTAATGCGTTAATTCAACAAAAGTAATTCAAACATAAATGCATTAGCTAAAGTATCAACAATTTGTTGCATACGCCCTAAAGTATCAACAATTTGTTGTTGAATGAGCATCGCTTTAAGCCTAACCATAATACACTTGCAATTTTTGTGACTGATTGGGAGCTTAATGTACTTGATATGCATTGTAAGTTGCACCATGGACATGTTTGCCATGGATATCCCCCAGCACTTGTGGAAATTGATGACATGTTGTGTAGTTCAATCTCGTTTTGCCCTTCTTATCTGAAACCCCAACAATGAAAGAGAGAATTGAGAGAAACCAAACACAACCAGAACTTGCATAGGAATATTGAAAAGGGCAAAAAGCAAATGAACCCAATACGTGATGTGGTAATATGATATTAACTGTTGATTCATCAGAGATAGAGAGAGACGAGAGAGAACTTGCATAACAATACATAAGGAAGGAATTAAAATTACATAAAAAACGCTGAAGAAAGCAAAAACAGGGCAGCCTAAATGAGACATATCAATACTTTATATCGAAAGAGAAGCCAAATTGCAAACCAAAAAGTTGCAGAAAAAATACCAAAAAGAAGAAAAAGAAAACATGTGAGAGGTGAACTTTCTCAAGAATCTCAACAACTTCTTGCTTCCAATGTAAGGTGACTTTTGGACACAAATGTAAATGAACAAAAAGTAAATCATCAAAAGTTTTCCACAATCTAATCATTCATACATATTAAAAAAAAGATAAAATCGTCTATTTTCACCAAAAAAACATTGCAATTTTATTCACTCACAGACCAAAGCAATGGACGACTCTATAGGCATTTGCCTTTGAAATTCAGATAAGCTATTCATGATATTCAATGCATATACTGAAATATTAAGCTTTCTGGCACTTCCCAATGGTAATCATTCATACATATTAAAAAAAGAATAAAATAAGTGCTTTGGAACCCACAATTCAAAGTTTAGGTAGGGACTCCATTTGTAAAATTAGTGCTTTGGCCATTAGAGAGTTTTCATCATCCTTACCTGCCTGTACATTCTATTTGTCTCCCTGAATAAACAAGGCGATGGGACTAAAATCTCAATATTACATCAAGTTGACTATGGTTATACGCAAATTTGTGCCATCTATGGAAGTGAAACTAACTCAGTGGATGCTAAGTCAGTTCATCGTCCACTCTTCAGCCTTATACCTTGGAGTTTGGTTTCAAGTTTTACAGAATTCTAATAATATATCGAGAATTATTATGTGAATCAATAACTATAGATGGCAACAATTCAATCTTGTCCAATGTCATGTCCTGCAAATTCATTAAGCGTATATACTTTTATGAGTAATAAAAGGGCTGATTAAATCTAGTTAAAAGTAACCATGATAAAAAAGAAATGTCACCTATGTATGTACTCATTGTGGATGTTCTAAATTCATAAATAAAAGAATCAAGATAAAGGATCAATGACTAGCCTCTACAAAAGTGATGTTACAGTAAATGCAGGGACACAGTTAGAAAAAGAATAGAGCAGCGGAATGCAGGAAGCACTTTGATCTGATTACAGGCCATTCTATAACTATGATGCATTCTAAGTCACAACAATAAGTACATTCATATTTTAGCAACAAACATGATTGCATTTTTAGTAAAACCTCATGAAGATAGGCCAAAATCAGAAGCTTTGCATTATAGTTCTGTGCAGACAATGGAATCTAACTATTATCCAATGGAGATAAAATTTCTACTCAAATTTAAATACATGCTAAGCAAATGAGACCCATACCAGCTATCAAAAAAAGAAACAATGTAAGAGCTCTGAATCAAAGAATAGCAAAACAATTTTCCTATGCATAGAGCAAATGAAGCTTATGCACAGAGACAACCAAAACCCCTAAAACTAAAATTAAAACAACAAAAACCCCAAAACCCAAAACAAGAAATTCGCATCACATGTAAAAATCATTATCCTAAAAAAAAAAACGGATTAAAAGAAAGCACCGAAGCAGATTAAAAAATATCCTTAAAAAAATAAAGAAATCGACTTTAGAAATCAAAATAAAACAGTAATGGGTAAGGCATAAAAGATAGCGTACCTCAAATCCACCGAAGATTGTCCCAATCTCCTTTGCAGCAGCAATGGAGCATATGGAATTTCAGAAATTTAGTGTTTTAGTTTTATTTCTAGGGAGAAAGGGGGGGCATAGAGGGAGATTGAGAGAGATAGGCAACTAGAGATTATCTAGAATTCTTGCAATTACGGTTTCGAGCTTCTGAGCTATTGGGACATCATCAGTTAGCTTTGTAACTGTACCTGACCACTAAAACCCAAAACAAACAAAACCCCAAAATGAGAGGGATGGGCAACGAGAGGTGTATAGAGAGGGGCTGAGATAGGTGGGGGAGAGATTGAAAGAGAGGGGCGAGTTTCAAGGAGTTAAGAGAGAGGGCCAGCTAGAGGGTTTGAGAAAGAGGGGCCAGCCCATAGGGTTTCAGAGAGAGGTGGGCGAGAGAGAGAGAGAGAGAGAGAGTTCCCATTGCCCGAGAGGGCGAGATGGGACGTCGTCGGAGAGACGGGACGTTCCTCTCTGTCGCCACATCTTTTCAATACTGTAGTGTAGGGCTATGGGACTTAAAATGAAGACGATCGGGAAAAACCATCTCAACCGTTGGCGTACGAAGCCTCATACGCCACCCAGCGTATCAAATCCTTTATTTATATATATATATATATAAACCATCTCAACCGTACGAAGCCCCATACGCGATCCAACGTATCAAATCTTTTATATATATGAAAAATGATCTTGTGAGATCCTTTCACACTTAGGTGTGTAGAACTTCATAGGATCACCATTAAATTTGACACAGATACCTAAAAAAGTTAAGTCCCACATCCAAGTGATAATTTTTTTAGAGATTTGTGTCAAATTTAATGGTGATCTTTTAAAATCCTATACACATAGGTGTGGGAGGGTATCATAAGATCATTACTATATATATATATATATATATATATATATATATA